GAGACATCCTGCCAAAATCCAAAGAAATCCTGGCAAAACAAACGATTTAGTCGAGATATCCTCGAAATTCCTGCGCGCGGGACGCGGCACGCGCGAGACATCCTCGGAACTCCTGCGAGCGGAACGTGAAAACAAGCATTTCGCCTGAAACATCGTTTGAGTTCTGGCCTCCCACGAAGCCCCCGCTTGAGACATCCCCAAATGTTGCAAAACCAGCGTTTCGCTCGAGACATCCTCAACATGTTTTTAAACAATTTAAAAAAAGTGTCGCTCAAGACATCCAATCAAAATCCCAAGAAATCCTTGCAAAGCAAACGAATTAGTCGAGACATCCTCAAAATTCCTGCTCGCGGGACGCGGCACGCGCGAGACATCCTCGGAATTCCTGCGCGCGGAGCGCTTTTCCGCGTCGCGGTCGAGGCTCCAGACTTTGGTAAAAGTGCCCCGCACCTTTTTTACGAAGGAAAACGGTGGTCCGCGGACACCGTTATTTATCGAGGATCCGAAATGGGGGGTCGATTTTCCTCGAGCGGGCACACGCGAAACGCATTTTTTTCACGCCGAATTGGACTTTACTTTGTTTTTCATCATGAATAATTCCGCAGGCCCCCTTCAAGCCAAAACCGGGGGTTCACCCACTGAAAGAGTACCCTGGGCCCAAGCCCTTTCCCGGAAAAAGGAGGCCTCACGAAGGCAGAGAGTAACTTACTTAAGAGGCCTCTCCTGGTCATCGCGCCTGGCGGCGCGCTGCTTGTTGGCATGTGAGCCAAGGCTCCGAAATTACCCCTGGCGAAGATCGGGCGTTGGCAGAACTGGGTTTAGTGGGACCTGGTTTCGTGATGTGGACTGGGGGACGCCCCCCCGCCCCGTTCCGCTAACCTGAACTGCCGTCACCCGAAAAAACACCAGCCACGGCAGACCTGGTTTAGTCGTCCAATTCAGGGGCTCCGGGGCCCTACTAACCGGGTCCCCGTACCTGGGGTCCTGGCTATACCCGAGAAGAGCCCGACCATATGTGACTACCTACCAGACCACCCCAACCCAACCCGAAGACCCGAATTTGACCCGAATTTCGGGTTGGGGGGGGTACGGATTCCATGTGTTTGTTCAACGTTCCCTGACCCCCCCCCCACTGGAAATGGAGGGCAAATTGAGGGCCTGGGGTTGGGTTGGGGTGGTTTGGTGGGTGGTGAATATGGCAGTGTGGGTGGAGGAGGCTGTGAGCACCCTCTTCGGCGTGGCCACCCGTGGGGCCACGGAACGCGTGAGGGGTGCGCCGCACCGGGCGCGGTGCCGCCCCTCGCACGCAGCCACCGGGGCCTTCGGCGGCGCTCCCTGCCGGGCCACGACACGCCGCTGATCGAGACGCTGAGTCGACGCTGAGTCGACGCTGCATCGACGCCTAAATCGACGCGAGCCGACGCCTAGATCGGCGCTGTGCCCTCGACTCCCAGAGGCTCATCGACGCGAGTCGACGCTGAAGACGGAACTCAGAGAAGAAACCAGGCTCCAATGATTCTCGGGGGCGCGCAACCGTGGACTAGCGATCCATGGACTTGGCGCGCGGTCGCCAAATCCATGGAGCGGGGGAGGTGCCCTGCCTGAGATGCGGCCGGTGCCGCCTCGTTCGGCGGCGGACATCCGCGATTGCCCATGGAAACGGGGCCCGTCGCTAATCCACGCCCCCTGGATCCATGCTTGCGATCGCCTGAGACACGTGTGAGGGGCGTGTTCCGACATGGACACGCGGTGCCGAAAATGCGGACGCGGTCACTGGCGCCCTCGGTGGGGCTCCCTGTGGGGCCACGAATAACGTGCGAGGGGCGTGCTGGGATGGACATGCGGAGGGCAGGGGCAGAGGCAGGGGTGGGAGGAGGGAGGAGGAAGGAGGAAGGGGGAACGAATGGCGCGGGAGGAGGACGGAGGAATGAGGGATGAGGGAGGGAGGAGGAGGGAGGAGGAGAGAGGGAGGCGCGGTAGGAGGGAGGAGCGGGAGGAGGAGGAAGGAGGAACGAGTGGCGCGGGGTGCTGCCTTTTTTCGAAGCGAGGATCCTACATCACAGGATGGTGGAGAAATGCTGAGAAATACCTAAGGAGTTCCAGCAAACTTCAAACATGATGGACCCACGAACCCGGAAAGGGATATAGAACCGCATGCATGGAAACGTTTCCACGAAACCGTATTGGGCGACGGGCACTTCCACGAGACACCCCGCGAAACATTCCTCGAGACACGGGCGACCGTTTTCAACGTTTTCCTGGAAACATTCCACGAGACACCCCGCGAAACAGTCCACGAGACACCCCACGAAACATTCCACGACGACAGGCAACCACTCAACCAAGGCGGTGTGGTCGTGCTGGGGAGTGGTCGTGCTGGGGTGTGGTCGTGCTGGGGGGTGGTCGTGCTGGGGGGTGGTCGTGCTGGGGGGGTAGTCGTGCTGGGGGGTGGTCGTGCTGGGGCGTGGTCGTGCTGGGGCGTGGTCGTGCTGGGGCGTGG